TATATTAAATCAGCAGTGACACGAAATTACAGTGAAAAATGCATAAACAACATAATGGATTTTGTTTCTGGATCGGCTAGTCAAAATTTTAGTCTCCTGCAAGAATTTTATCAGACCACTCTGAAGGCCCTTGAAGAAGCAAAGAATGAGGTTAGTAAAATGACATATGTTTTAGCATCAGAATGGTGCCTTTGCCAAGATGTAATTTATTCTCTGTTGTTTTGTAGAGACTTTGGTTCAAGACAAATCTTAAGCTTTGCAAGATATGGTTTGATATGGGTGAATATGGGAGAATGAGTAAGGTATCCTTTCTTTAATACCTTCTAGAATTTCCACTTTTATTTTGGAATGTTAATTATGAGAACAATTGTGTATACATCCAGATTTTGAAGGAACTTCATAAATCTTGTCAAAGAGAAGATGGTACAGATGACCAAAAAAAAGGAAGTCAACTTTTGGAGGTCTATGCAATTGAGATTCAAATGTACACTGAGACTAAGAATAACAAGAAACTAAAGGTAAGGTTTTTGCAACGCTTGTTTATGTGCTTTAGAGTCTTTACAAATGCTATTTGCACTTTTCTGTTTGGGTAAAATATTTTCTACTTTATATTGGTGTAACCTTGTATTTTCTCCTTTATAAGATTAAATCCTGATAAAAGATTGTGAATTTTTTAATCCATTTCAATAATTTACCTGTTTGTTTCTATAAAATTAAACAAGTAGCAGAAAGTGATTGAAAAGGGATTTTTAAATCTCAAGTCTTGTGGAATGGATTAAGTTTTTATGCAATGACAAAGACCTGAAAATAGACATTGAGGAATATTGATTTATTAACATCGTCTTCTCTTCTCTCTCTCGTGCTCTCCTTTTTGATATTTTGCTTTAGGTTATGATCCAATATGAATTAATAGATGTTGAAGCAAGGATAAAAGTTACTTGAAATTAAAGTTTTTTGAAGATGCAAGATAACATATGGATTTTCCAGGTCAAATATTTGTGTTATTAACTTAAGAATCCCAAGCTAACCTTTTTAATATGTTACAGGTTTTAAGATTGTCATTCCTTTGATGTAAATTTAAGTATTTCTGATCCGAAGTATCCAAATTTCCTTAATTATATTTTCTTTGACTTATTATGATCCAATATTGTCATTCCTCTGATGTAAATTTAAAAGTTCCAATGTGAATATCTCTTAACAACAATGTTTGATATTATAACACCCATGTTACATGTGGGCTTGACAAAAGAATGAGCTTCACGTATGAAATAAAAAGTAACTCAAGGAGGACCCACAGTATTGATCAAGTATGGATTGGCCTTGATATTATGGTCGAGAAATGTACCAGAAAGTTATATAAGAGGTGGGAGTGCCTAATAGGTATATGTGGCCTTAGTTAAAATCTGACAACAAATGTGAGACTCCTTAAGATCCTCTCTCATGTGTACGCCTGATGGAAGAATAGTTTTGACATGAGATGGAAAACATGATGAGTGCCATAGTTTCTCTCTAATGATTTAGTTGAAGGCTCAAAACCTATTTTAAGGCACGCGGATTCTTTCTGATCACTGTTTTAAGATTATGTTAGTTTATGGTTTAATTTGCAATTGGGATCGAGCCGTGTTTGATGAAATGGATTAAATGCAGCAATTGTACCAGAAAGCACTTGCTATTAAATCAGCTATTCCCCATCCGAGAATCATGGGAATAATTCGTGAATGTGGTGGGAAGATGCATATGGCTGAACGTCAGTGGGCAGATGCAGCAACTGATTTCTTTGAAGCTTTCAAGAACTATGATGAAGCTGGGAACCAGAGGCGTATACAATGTTTAAAGTACAAATGCTTTCTCTCTTCTCTTTAATTATTCTATTGTAGTTGATAACCATGTTTTATGTCTTTCCTCTCTCTCTCTCTCTCTTGGTATGCGGTTTTAATATTAAAACTAATAGGTGGAGGCGAGTTCCTTTTTATGATTGATAATGAGATTGTGAATTCGGTAGACACTGAATACATCATAATTGCTGTATTTAATTTGAGAAAATGGAATATGTTTAATTAATTTATAACATTGAGCTTGAGTTGTTTATTCTTTGTATGAGTTTATTGTCTCATGAATGGCCCAAATATTGATTTAAAAAGTTTATTCATCATTTGTCTATGAAATGTTCAGTGCCAATACTGTATAAGAAATTTTAGTTTTCAAAGCAGATGTTTAAGTAGATTATTTTTTTTACAAACACATGGATATCAACTAAATTTAATCGGTTCCTATCAGATAATTGTGATATTTTCTTTCTTCTACCTTATTTTTAACCCTAAAAATTTCTCAAAATAAATAAAAATTCCTAGTTGATGTAAGGATATTGGACGTAGGAGTTGTGCTAGAGCTGTCTTCATGTTTTCTCGTTGTACCTACTATTTTTTTTTATTTTCTTTTGTGTTAGTATTTCTGTAACTAAGGTACTAAGGTATATTTGTATTGTCCTTTGATTATTCACTTCGTATTAATTGTGGGAGCATTAACAGATATCTGGTTCTGGCAAATATGCTGATGGAATCTGAAGTTAATCCATTTGACGGGCAAGAGGCAAAGCCGTAAGTCTCTTAGTTTGCCCTACTACTGAATCCAACATATATTTTTCTTCTCTCTTGATCTGGTTGCTACTTGCAGATATAAAAATGACCCTGAAATTCTAGCAATGACAAACTTGATAGCAGCATATCAACGAAATGAGATAATAGAATTTGAGAAAATCCTTAAGGTACATTTCATGCAATTCAATGTTATTACAGCTTTGCAGTTATATTATATACTTTCTTTCGTTCTCTTTCTTCAATCCCTTTCTGGTCTCCAAATTTAGTTGCTAGTGGGAATTTGCAGAGTAATAGAAGGACAATAATGGACGATCCCTTTATCCGTAATTACATTGAAGATTTGTTGAAGAATGTCCGGACTCAAGTGCTGCTTAAGCTTATCAAGCCTTATACGAGGATCCGAATCCCTTTCATATCAAAGGTAAAGCCAGTGGCTTCTCAGAAAGTGTTCTATCTATATCAGATTTCTTCATAACGCCGTTGAGCTGTTGCTTTTAATATTGTGAGAATTGTTAAACTTGCATATGACATGTAAAGGGAGCAGTTTCTTATTTTTTATGAACTTAATCAACATGATTGTTACGTAGGAGCTCAATGTGCCAGAAAAAGATGTTGAACAATTGCTGGTTTCACTAATCTTGGATAATCGTATTGATGGACATATTGATCAAGTGAACCGGCTCTTAGAGCGTGGCAACAGGTCAGCCTTTCTACTCTTTCATGAATTTCATCCTATCCCACTGAGTTGTAGCTAAACTGTAATTAATAAAATACTCTTGCAGGTCGAAGGGAATGAAAAAGTATACTGCTATAGACAAATGGAACACACAGCTAAGGTCTCTGTATCAAACTGTTGGTAATCGAGTGTCTTGAGTGAGTAAATTGAAGGTGGGATAGTAGGAAAAGTTGTATTAGCTTTTGGATAATTTGTTGATGATTCAGGGGAAAGGTGAAATTGTCTTTTCGGCATTGTCGATTTCAGGAATGGATTAATAATTTTTCTTGTTGGAATCGAAGCACAATGGGAGACAGTGCCATTAGAAGTATGTATCTGGATTCATGTCAAAATGTTGGGTTGATAACAAGTAAATTTTGAAAAAAAAAAATAGTTAAATGGTGAATAGATATGTTTATGATATTGTAAGAATTTTGATTTGGAGAGGAATACCCATTAACAAGCTGATAATCTGGCCTTGGGGTTGTGAATGAGCTTGGCTCTATTTTGTTTATGTTGTTGGCTTGAGCTCAGCTTAGTATATGATTTAATTTGCTTAGTTAATGATGTAAAATGATTTTTAAGAATACAAAGGTTTATCTATGTTGGATGGATTATTTTAATCCTTTTACTGTAAATCTAACAACAGTAATATCGATTATGTAATTTTATTCAAAAGTAGCCAATTTTGAAAAGTTTCTCACGATATAGCCATAACTCATTTTGAAAGACGAAAGTACACCCGTTCATAATTCCAAAAAGTTCTTAATTAAAACTCATTCTTCAAAACTTTATATTCTGATTTGAAGGAAGTGTTATTGAACGATTTTGTTGGTAAACGTTCCACAAGTATGTTATTAAAAAGTTGAAAGATTTTTAAGAAACGTGTCAATTAAGGTAGTCTTGGTTAGTTGGATTGTTTTTTTTTTTTTTTGTTTATTGGTTGTTTGAATTTATATTTGATTGGGGATCGTTTTCGTGAAATCTGGGTCTATTTAATGGTCATATTGGTGGTATTAGTCAGTAAGATTGCCCGAGGTTGGAGAAGATAAGTAACTGATCGATCATCGATGGGACACTTGAAAATAGGTTAGAACTATCGGTGTCTCATAGGGGGGTATGGGTCAATCCAAATTGTATTTTGAGTATATTGATGAATTGTTATATATATATATCTGATTTTCCATAAAAGAAAAAAGTACAATTTTAAGAAACCTACTTGAAAAGGGCATGGTAAATGCGTTGTTTTACTAAGAAATTAAATATAAGCTAATATTACCAACTTTGTAGCTTTTGAATTGAAATTTGGTTGGTTCATTAAGCTAATAAAATTGACTTTTATATGAATATTTAATTTGAGGTTTTCCCCTAAATTACAATAAATCCTCCTCAACTTTTGTTAAGGCGTGATTTGTCGTGTACAATCAGAAGAAGAAGAGCGGAAAAATGTCATACATATATATATATATATAAAATAAAACAAAATAATTTTTAACAGTATAAATAATACCAAATAGGCCTCTAAAAACCAATGAAAGAAAATGACAATTTTGAACGGAATAAAAAATATTTATTCACTGCAGCATAGATATTTATCTTAAGAAAGAATTAAAAATGGAAAGTTGAAAGTGTATTAGTATTAGTATAGAATAAAATTTGCATTAATATGAATCAGTCAAACGGGAACGGCGACCCATGTTTGAATATCAGTTAGAAAGTAGCTTCCCTTCATTGACCGCCATTCCAATTGATTAATGAGCTCTTATTAGTTTCAAAAACCTTACTGCTTCAGCCTTGCTTAATATTCATCGTCATGGGGAATTGTTTCACAAAATCTAACAAGTGTGCTCATGCTTCTTCCACTAATTTTTCTGCAGGTTGTTCTTCATTTCAACTGTTTAATTCTTCTATTTTCTTTCAGATTTTTGTTTATGGGTTCTTAACTTCTCACAGGAAATACAAAGTCTCAAACTAAAGGACTAAATCAAGATTCCAGTTCGACTCAGCAGACGCCTTCAACTTTAATTACTTCAAAAGTTGATGAAACATCGATGAATATAAATCTCAAGTCGTTTAGCTTCAATGATCTCAAGAATGCGACGAAAAATTTTCGACAGGATTTTGTTCTTGGAGAAGGAGGATTTGGTTGTGTGTTCAAAGGATGGATTGATGAGAACACTTTGTCTCCAACAAAACCAGGAAGTGGAATTGTGGTGGCTATAAAAAGACTCAAAGCTGAAAGTTTTCAAGGGCACAAGGAATGGCTGGTATGTTTGGGGATCTTAATTATAAGCTTAATTCTTGTTAATGGGTTTTGATTAATTTTTGTGATTGTTGGGCAGGCTGAAATAAACTATTTGAGTCAGCTTCACCATCCCAATCTTGTGAAGCTAATTGGGTATTGTGCAGAATCAGATAATAGGCTTCTGGTTTATGAGTTTATGCCAAAAGGAAGTTTGGAGAATCACTTATTCAGAAGTAAAGCTTTCTCAAACTTTAATTACTAGATAATATGAATCCATTTACTTGAAAACTGCAAAGTAATTCCTCTTGCCTTTCATATGTTTTTGATTGTGCAGAAGGAGTTGAACCAATTGGTTGGGCCACACGAATGAAAATTGCAATTGATGTGGCAAGAGGATTGTCATTTTTGCATGGTTTAGACTCCAATGTTATCTACCGTGATTTAAAGGCTTCCAATATTCTGCTTGATTCGGTATTTATACATCTTCAACACAAAATTATATATTAATCTTAATTTCTATTAAATGCCTGAATTTATTTATTTTTTATTTTAGGATTTTAATGCAAAGCTTTCAGACTTTGGTTTAGCAAGGGATGGGCCAACTGGTGATAACACTCATGTTTCAACTAGAGTTGTAGGAACAAGGGGTTATGCTGCTCCTGAATACGTAGCTACAGGTCACTTGAATCCCAAGAGTGATGTCTACAGCTTTGGCGTTGTGTTGTTAGAGTTGCTCTCAGGAAGGCGGGCTTTGGACGATCAAAGAGTTGGAGTTATCGAAGAAAGTCTAGTGGAGTGGGCAGAACCATTCCTGAAAGATGGCCGAAGAGTGTTTAGAATCATGGACATACGGCTGGGCGGTCAGTACTCGAAGAAAGCTGCCCAAGCTGTTGCCGCAGTTGCTTTGCAATGCCTACAAGATGATCCCAAGAACAGGCCTTACATGGTTAAGGTTCTAGCTGCTTTGGAACAACTCCACACATCGAAAGACATGCAATCCAAACCCCCACATCCTAAGACTAAGCACACTAATCACCCTCACAAAACATCTTCATCTATAAATTAAATATCAACACTATGCAAATTGTGTGTAATTCACGGTCTGTAGAATTATAGATTTATTCTTTGTGTTGTACACATAACACACACACACACACACACACACACATATATATATTATCTCCCTCATATTTCCGAGGACTAAACGCTAAAAACACCGTCGTGCCATTAGCTACAGCATAAAGTTGAATCTACTGAAAGAAGTGAGCAGTTGAAAATGCAGATAAATTCTTGTCTAGTTCAATGATCCCATCTGAAATGTTTCTTTTCCCCTTCAAAAACTGAGTGTACCACTTAGCAGAAAGTTTTGGGTGTCTGACCAAATCTGGGTCATCCAAATCTATGTAATACAACCCGTAGCTCGACTCATACCCATCCAACATCTCAAACAGATCTAGGAAGGACCAAGTGAAATACCCTCTAACATTTGATCCATTCCTTTCAAATTAATTAAAAGAATCGTGAAAAGAAAATGAAAAGCAAAAAGAGAATAGTATTAGAAGTAGTGAAAATCATATTAAAATTGAAAGAAAGCAGAGGCAGATTATATAACATACCTCAATGAGTGAAGCAAACCCTCTATGTATCCAGACAGAGACATAACCCTTGGCCAATCTTCTAATGTCGAATTGCGCTGCATCCGCTGACCTGGTAGAGCATTTTATGCTAAGTCTTGGCACCTTAGAGGATAATATGATCATAACTTATAAAATTGTGAGAATTTTATTGATACAGAGTTATGAAACTTATAAAATTGCAACTGAAGTTATAGTAGACTAGTCCTAAGTATTAAAGTAAAGAAACAAAAGACATCCCAATTTTCCAAACTAAAAAAAAAATAATAATAATTGAGAACAAAGCAAAATATTGTCTTGAAGATTTATAGCATTTATTTTAACACAGAAAGAAAGACTTACCTAATTTTATCCAAAGTTGATTCCTTGTTATATGTAAAATCCTTTTCATACTAACTTACAAGTTTTGGTTGATATACAAATAAATTATCCACCCTTGACAGGTAGACAAGTAATTTTGTGGACTAGTAAAATAAATGACATAATTTATTTTATTTTTAATAGAAGATCCTCCTAGGTCACATATTTATCTTGTCTTTATGGTAATAATGGACATAGCTTGATAGATTAATGAATAAAAGTATATGATTATTTCCCCCTAATCTCTGCTCATTTTCCTATCTTTTCTTTCTATTCTCTTGATTCGCCCTATTTCTTCTCTTCAGCCTTTTGTTCTGTCCCTCTCTTTCTTTTCTAACTCTTTCTACTTCATGCTCTACATCAATAATTTTCTTCACTTGTAATTTTCTCGTTTACATATTCATATTTTTCTGGTATAAAACTCCTTTCAGTAAACTTAGGAATTAATTCTCTATCACTGTCATTAAACTTGTCCAACTAAAGTAACAAAAAAAGGAAAGAAACAAAGATTTTCATTGCTGTCTTGATAGCAAGCGAAAGGACCTCCTTTATGAGAGTTTATGGAGAAAGTAAAGTGTTTTTTTGTATGTGAGCAATTGTTGAGGACAAGGGAGAGAAAGAGAGACCGTTTTCATGGATGTAAACAGGAGGGTTGCCATAAACTTGCTTAAAATACTCCAGCACTCCTTGCAGACCCCAAGGTGTAACAGGAAACTGAATAAAACAACCTGATTAGTAATACACTTAACGAACTTGATTAGTAACAGCCCTATATGTTATAATTCTCACCTCAACTGTTGATGAGTTATCAAGCATGGCTGTCAAAATCACAAGTTCAGTTAGCCGTTGTACTATCAAATTATCTAAATTCAATGAAGACTGAACTCAACTGACTTATTGATTCTGTAGGTACATTGACTAATTCATAATCGATCAATGGAAACATATGTTGAATTCAGTAGAAAAACATTTGCCAAGAACAAATGTGACAAAAAATCTGACGAAGGTTTTCCAGTTATAATTGAACATAATCAACTAGGTAAGAGCAATTGAGCTGAGGTAGACCAAAGTAATTCAAACCGATACTAAGCTTAGTTTTCAACATCCTTCATGATTTTCATTAAGTTCGATCTAATTAAGTCAAATAACATACGTATCAGTTCTACTGCCATGTCTGCATCAACGTCTCTATGTTCTTTCTTTAGGCTGTCAGAATTGTCCTTGACATACAAGGTGTTGTAAAAGTTGACTCCAAGGAAGTCAAATGAACCCTTAATCTGCTTGGATTCCAGATTGGTGAAGTCCGGCATCCTCGAGCCAGCATTCTTCTTCATTGTGATAGGATATTCTCCAGATACCAATGGATTCAAAAACCTAGAAAAAAGAAGAAAGAATGATAGAAAAGTAGAGAAAAAGAAGCTTGCAATTATAAAAGCGCATGACGACTCTTATTTGATGTGTGGCATCACACACACTGTAACTGATAGGAATGATAGGGATATGAAGCACTCAAGACAAGTGAAATGAGAGAGAGATGTAACAGCTCTAGGTACATGAATTTGTAACTCACCAACCAAGGTAGAAATCGTTCGCTCTCTTAGTGGCAATTGCATCTTCTGTTGTATTTCTAAAAGGAACAAACCAATAAGCAAACAAATTGAGCCCTAAGAATCCATGTTGCTTTTCCTGCATTGCCCAGAGTTTCCATCACTTGTCAATAATTAATCAGAGTCTCAGTAGTCAAAGTCCACCTATTTTATTGTTTAGCCAAGAAAGACTGCATGACAACTATTAGTCAATATTCTGAAATCAGATTTAAGATTAGAAGGCTCTGGCAGTGGAAAGAAGAGAATCTTAAAGTGGAAGACAAGCAAAAGCGAGGCTGATGATATAAATTTTCTAAAATCTTTGGGAAAATTATGACCTTTTAGAATGTTTTGAGGGGCCAAATCCACCTTCTATTTTGCTCCAACATAAATCTTGCTCCACCACCATAAGTATTAAATAAAAAGTTCATATTGAAGAGTTTTTGTTAGAAAGTATTTAAAGTCTTTTTTTTTTTTTTTAAACTAAATAGTTTACAATTTAATTGGGCTGTAATTTGAGAATTTGCATCGAAGAGCTTGTGGATCAAACACAACAAGTACAACAACAAACATCAACACTCAAGACTATTATTCAAGTTTAAACTGATATATGAGAACCTAATAATAGCATTTAAGCTCTAAAAGATAGTAATGCAAAAGATTTATTTACAATCAATAGAATAGAGCAGCACAAATTGAAAAGCTTCAACAATACCTTATACTTTTTGTTGTACAGCCTCGCAGCCGCTGCATGTGCCAACAAGATATGATGAGCTACTATGTATGGTTCAGACGATGAGTTACCTCTAGAACAATTGACCCCAAATGGAAACGAGCATCGTGCGGGCGGCAGAAATCCAATGTCATATCCTCCCAGTACAAACACATTGGCCTCATTCACAGTAGTCCAATATGAAACCCTATCACCAAAGTTTCTAAAGCATACATCTGCATACGCTGTAAAGTCTTTCCTGCATCCACATATTCAGTCACATTTAACCTGCTGTTTGTATACACCAATCACAAAAACCCATTTAAGACAAAAGAGAATTTATACACAATCTTTCGATTAAGCCATCCTCCATACTCATCCTCAAGTGCCTGTGGAAGATCGCTATGATGTAATGTAACATGCGGTTGGATTTCTGCTTGATCAAGAAACGGACAAATATCAGCACAACATTTGGTTAATAGTTTGGAAATACTTTTTCATGAATAAAAGCTACTTCCATGACAATAACTTGAAAATTTTGATCTAGTTCCTAAAAAATGAGAATTGTGATTATAACCATGACTGATTAATTCATTGATGAGGTTGTTGTAATACTGTAAACCCTTTGGATTAACCGGTCCTCTTCCATCTGAAACAGATAACAGCATTTCAAGCTTCAGAAAATGAACCACAAATTGCTCCTTTCTTGTTTGGTACTAAAATTGCAATTAAGTGATCCTACTTGGGATTAGTCTTGACCATGAAATGGAAAATCTGTAGGCTTCTAACCCTGTGTCCACCATGAGTTGGACATCTTCCTGCAAGAACCTCATAATAAAGAGGTCATGCTCCCACACGACATTGTGTGATTTATCCAATGAAATCAACATATATGACATAACTTGTTAATTTAATCATAATCTATAATCACTATAAGATAAAAGTCAGATGAGGAGAATGAATCACTGCTATGTTAGGTGAAAGAACCCAGAATTTACCTTGTATTTATGATAGTGGTCACATGCTACATCTCCATTGGCTCCATGTGTAATTCCTGAAATTAAAGTTAGTAATCAGCCAACCACTTTATGAGCATTCAAGATTGGCCTCATTATGGAACTATGAAATTGTGATAGTGATTTAAGAGTACATTTTTTACCTTTAATAAACTAAGATTGTCTCACAGTATAAAATTTTTAAGAAAAATAATATATATTTTGAAAAAAAAAAAAAAAAAAAAAAAAAAAAAGAAGAAGAAGAAGAAGCAGACCAGAGTGAGCAAAAGTGTCCCATATGCTTGGAGTCCTTCCATCTTCAGCAGCTGCACCTTCAACCTTTACAGAAATTCAAAATCATGCATGAATTAATATATTACTTGGCTTAAAATTTGTTAGAATTCATTTCCTTTCTGTTTATAAAATCAATAACAAAGACCAGAATGGTAAGAAAATAACTAACCTGATAAGCTGAGGTACCTGAGCCGAAAACGAAGTCAGCGGGGAAGTCATCTCTGCTGAATTGATTGCCACAATCAACTGATTTTACCACAAGAATAATGAAGAAAATTAAAAACAGCAGAAACTCCATTGTGAGGAGTTAGATGAAATGGTACTTGCTTGGTTTGGTTTATAGCCATTCATCAAGTATCCCTTAATTGACTATTGGCGCTTTTCATTATGGCAATCTGGCAGATTCCATTCAATGAGGAAAGACAAAAATGTCCTGCTTGCTTGCCCTTTTATGTTTTACGTTTTGTGATTTGGCAACTGTTTACACGTGTGCGATTGTATGCTTGCCACGAGGGACTACAGCTGACCCACAAAATAAAATGAAATGTATAATATATACCGTATAAACCCTTTATAACAATATTTTATATAAAAATAATCTTCGTATAGGTGTAAAAAAAATTGATCCTAATTTAAACCAAGAATAAATTTTATATTGTAATAAGTTATAATTTTTCTAGGTCTCTTCTTAAGAACTTGTCTCAATATAGTAATAATTATATGAATATTACAAAAAAAATATATGTTATGTTAAATTAAAAGTTTAAGATAAGTAAAATATTTATCTACAATTATTTGGCAATGATTTATACTATAGAGTTGTTACCACATCTTTTATCTTGCGAATTCATAATAAGTTTTCCACATGGACACTTTCTTATTGAAGCCAAAATATTTATAACTTCTCAAGTATATTTAGATACGAAACTTTTGATATTTTTTATCTATCATCCTCAAAATTATCTCCTTCCTCTTCTTGTCTAATTCTAGTAATGTTTTTTCTTCAGTTAAAACATATATGACTTGTTACTCATTTGTATAATTAAGGAATACATTCATATTTATTTGATTAGTGTACTGAAATTGTCGAATCTGATCATTTAATTTTGTAATAACTCTTTGATATCCATTTTCGTACTATATATCCTAATACTACTAAAAAAATGAATTAAATCCTAATACAACTAAAAAATAAATGGAAATCCTCATACTAATAAAACATGAATTATAAAATAAGAATTTCTTTTTAAATAAAAAAATAATTATTATAATTACACATCTATTAAGTTATAACCTCCTTATAATAATAAATTTAGTTGGTCATAACATTATGACTATAGAGAAATTATTTTATGTATATATATAATCACGGGACATAAGTTATACGATGGTCATTTTGAAGCTCTATAATTCTTTTATTTTGACATGATGGAATATTATTAGACATGTGGCATTGTGTAATTGGGGCATTCAAAGGTTTTGACATGATGAAATATTATTAGACATATGGCATCATGTAATTGGGGCATCCAAATGTCTAATAAAAACTTTTCTAAAATTCCTTTATTTTGATATGGTATAATGTTATTAGACACGTAAAATCATGTAATTGGAGTATCCAAAGGGTAAAATATTTTTAGATATGTATCATCATGTGATTGGGGTATGTAAAAGTCTAGTAAAAACCTTAATTAATCTATATATCTACACGCAACATCATATAATGGGAGGATCCAAAGTTTAATCAAAACTTAATCAATCTAAGTATCTATATAATTTCGAAACACACCTCGCTATTTGATTGTGATATAGGATTTCAAAAAAATCCCTGATTGATTGACATGTATGACCTTTTTGGAGCTCTAGAATTACTCAATCTTGCGACCTTGGGTGTGGTTGAATGACAGGTATTACAAAGGTCTAAATAAATAAAATAAACCATTCACATTTGCGTAAATTAAAACGCTTTGGTCTCCAAAACTTCATTTCTTATTTGTTACATATCTCAACCTCATAAATGACCTCCATCTTCTTCTTCGAGTAAAAAGAAATCAACTCAACGTCAGTCGGTGAAAACCTAACCTTGGAAACATTAAAGACGCGGTTGTGTAATACTATTCATCCCCACTAATTTGGTGTGATACTATTTATCTATTATAAAATATATTTTATTTTTGTTATTTTTTTAATTTGTATTTATGTTAATTTAATTATTATTTATATTAATATTTATAATAATAAATTCATAATAATTATATAATTAAAAAAACAGTGAAAAATTAAAAATAAAACTTTATTTAATGCAAATATTAAACTATAATAACCCAAAATAAAAATTGACACTAATTTAAAAACACTAAAATTAAAAGAAAATACAACATAAACTAAAATAACAATTTACTATTTCGGTAGATTAGTTTCGGATTCTCTAAGATCATCAAACTATTGGAAAGAACTAGAGCCCACTATAGACAAATGAAGGGTACGGAAGCTCATCATGTTCTTTCAAAATGCATTAATTGATTATTTATGAGAAGAATATACTAATTCGAGAAATTAAATTACTATCAATATAAAATTTTTCTTTGATGTTGTTGTCTTTTTTTTTTTTTTTTGGTGACATTTTATATTAAATATAATGTTTTTTAATATCAAATGTAATGTTTATTTGATTAAATAAATACTTAATTTTATTAAATTGGTATAATTTTTAAAGTTATTATTATTTAATAAAAATATTATTTTTAATATTTAATTAATATATATTAATAATTAGTGAANTAATCTTCATATAGCTATAACAAAACTTGATCCTAACTTAAACCAATTATAAATAAGAATAAATTTTACATTATAATAAATTATAATTTTTTAGGTCTCATCTTAAGGAACTTGTCTCTACATAATAATAATTATATGTATATTACAAAAAAAAAAAAAATGTTATGTTACATTAAAGGTTTAAGATAAATAAAATATTTATCTAAAATTATTTGACAATGATTTATACTATAGAGTTGTTACCACATCTTTTATCTTGCGAATTCATAATAAGTCATAATAAGTTTTCAACATGGATACCTTTTTATTGAAGTCAAAATATATATATCTTCTCAAGTATGTTTAGATACGAAACTTTTGATATTTTTGTACTATCATCCTCAAGATTATTTATTTCCTCTTCTTGTCTAATTCTAGTAATGTTTTTTCTTCAGTTAAAGCATGTATGACTTGTTACTCATTTAGTTGATTGAGAATACATTCATATTTATTTGATTAATGTAGTAAAGTTGTCGAATCTGATTACTCAATTCTGTAATAACTCTTTGATATCCATTTTCGTACTATATATCCTAATACTAAAAAATGAATTGAATCATAATACTACTAAAACATAAATGGAAATCCTCGTACTAATAAAACATGAATTATAAAATAAGAATTTTTTTTAAAATAAAAAAATTATTATTGTAACTATACATCTATTAAGTAATAACCTTTTTATAGTAATAAATTTAGTTAGTCATAACATTATGACTATAGAGAAATTATACTATATATATATATAATCACGCAGACATAAGTTATATGATAATCATTTTGAAGCTCTAGAATTCCTTTATTTTGACATGGTGGAATATTATTGAACATGTGGCATCGTGTAATTGGGGTATTCAAAGGTTTTGACATGATGAAATATTATTAGACATGTGGCATCATGTAATTGGGGCATCCAAATATCTAATAAAAACTTTTCTAAAATTCCTTTATTTTGACATGATAGAATATTATTAGATACGTAACATCATCTAATTGGAGCATTCAAAGGTCTTAATATGGTAAAATATTTTTAGATATGTAATATCATGTAACTGGGGCATCTAAAAGTCTAGTCAAAACTTGATTAATCTATATATCTACACGCAACATCATATAATGGGAGGATCCAAAGTTTAATCAAAACTTAATTAATGTATGTATCTATATAATTTCGAAACACACCTCGCTATTTGATTGTGATATAGGATTTCAAAAAAATCCCTGATTGATTAACATGTATGACCTTTTTGGAGCTCTAGAATTACTCAATCTTGCGACCTTGGGTGTGGTTGAATGACAGGTNTTTAATCCAATGCAATTCATTGATTTTATTAATTAATTGATTAATCATATTATGGTTTTGAATTGATTTGGTTGCAGATAAGAAGTGGGGTAAAGGCAGGGATAAGATTGACGAAGAAGACCCCACTCTTTTTTCCTCAGTTCTGTTTGTTTACCGAGAAACTGAAAGAAAAAGACACCTCTTAGAAACCATGGCGGTTCGAGCCACGATGTCACGCTTTTCTACGGACCCAGACGCACAAGAAGCTTCACGCCTGCCATGGGGCGTCACTGTGACACCCTTCGCAACCAAGGACGAGAACGGCGTCAAGCCGGTGTACGGATCCGATGGGAATTTGCTACCTCGATGCGAGGACTGTTATGCCTATTTCAATGAGTACTGCGAACTGGAGCAGTGGGCGTGGTCATGCTCGCTTTGTGGGACCCTAAACGGTCTCTCTTCTCAGGCCATTGCCAGATACTCTTATCCTCGGTCTTGCGCCGAGATGGTCTCTTCTTTCATTGCCAAGGTTAGACCGTCCACTCTCCCTCTTTTGGCATCTGGGTGTGTTTCCTTCTTGAGGTTGTGTGGTGGAATTTTCTGAAAATTTAGTTCTGCATTATTAGAGAAAGTTGAGGTTTAATAGGCAAGAGGTGTCAGATCATGGAACAAGAGATTGAGAATTTGTCAAAGGACAAGCAGGAACTCCAGGAAAAGTTTTCCCCAAGTGAAGGAGCAGGTAACTAAAGTCAATTAGGAAGGTGTCAACGCATGAACAGAGAAACAGATCGTGAACTAAAAGCATATTGCCTTGCATTTGACGATGAATTAGGTATGTGTTTGGCATTCATCAGTGAAATCATATTAATTTATTAGTAATTGCATTTCATATATCAATATATGTAGTTTATTCAGGTTAATGTGCTTGCCAATTGGTCACAGGTCCTCCGCCAGTTGCTGATGTTAAATCTTTGACACATTATGGAGAACCTTATGATGGTAACAGTACAAGTTTCTTTAGGAGCATATTGTTTGTTGCTGTTGTTAGATCTTGCTACAGAGAATCCTGCTTATGGTGTGGAATGGATGCCTTCTAAGGTCAACCTCTGCATATCTTTTATTATTAACAACTTCCTTTCTTTTTTTTTTTTTTTTTTTTTTTTTTGGGTGGTGGAAAAGGGGATGTTTCATATATGTTATGCATTTAAGCTTCCTAGGGAAAGTTCATCTGAAATTGACAGTGACACAATGAAAAACTCTAATGATTTTGCTGGTTTCGACCCATCTATCCCTGCGGAGGGAATATTTTCTCAAATGCAGATTTCCCTTAGATGACTGAAATATTGGTGTTTCGAAAACCCAGGCTTTCATATATTTTTGACTCATAATATTTCAAGTGCAGATTTTTTGACAAGTAGGAACTCCAGGAAAAGTTTTCCCAAAGTGAAGGAGCAGGTAACTAAAGTCAATTAGGAATGTGGACTGTTCTGAACTTCTTTGTATTATATCTTCAATGAGTGAATCAATATAAATTCCAATTTTATTTGCCTTTTGCAGAGTGATTTGGATATTGGGAATAATACCAATGCATTAAACTCTTGCGTAGTTGCTGAAAATGTTTCGACTTTGCAAACAAGGTCTCTCTCTCTCTCTCTGTGTTACTCAATTAAGCCAGGATTGTAATTTAGTGTTTTATGTTTAATATTGTAGATGTTAAGTCATCACCTGATAAAAAAACTTAAGTTTTCATGTGAGGAACCAAACAATAGTATAAACCCTTGAATAGACTCCTTCACATGTAGTGTGAGCCAAGCTTCAACTCAGACAAAAACAAGCTCCATACCGAATACAAATATTGGTGCATGACGTTTGAGGTAGGGATAGCCATGGGCCAGGGACCCTTGTCTCCGGCCCCGGCCCGAAAGCCCAAGGGGATTCCCCGATCCCGATCCTGATCCGAAGACCGTTTGGAGAATTTAGGGAATCCCCGAAAAAAACCCGTTCCCAAATCTCCGAATTCCTTGTTTGGGGGTTTTCTGTTTTTTTGTATCCTTATTAGTTGTATTATCCTTTTCTTCAAATTATATATACCAACCAAAAAAAAAAATAAAAAAAAATTATATATATAATATACATTTTAAACATAAAGACTATATCATCAAAAAAAAAATTAAATCTATAATGTACATATTAAATATATAATCTAATCTAGGATTTGGGCATAATTTGTGTTTATAAAGGAAGAGCAAAATTGTTTTATGAAAACATAACAAGGGAAAATGGTAATTATGTAATGGAAAGATGGAATTGAAAATTTGAAATTCATTGAAAACGAAGGACAAGGTCTTGGTCCATACTCCATTACTCCACAAGGTGTCAAGGACTTTATTTATAAATTATAATGATTAAAAGAATTATAATGATTTATACATTCATTATAATCAATAGCAAATCCAAAAATTTTTGTTAAGGTAGGTCAAAATAAAAACTAATTACACTTATACTTATATAGTATATACCATATATAATATATAATGTATAATGTATAATGTCGAATGTATACCATATATAATGTATAATATATAATGTCGAATGTATAAGTTTTGTTTCATAGCATTAACATATTGTGTATATATATATATATATTACAAATATTTATAATGGTTTATTATATTTAATCTAGTTTTATTTAATACTTATTTGTATATAGTTTCATAAAATACTTATACAATTATAATTTATCATTGTATAATGTATAATTGATTTTCAAATATTAAAATTATTATAGGTATATATGATTGATTTTCAAATATCAAAATTAATATAGGTGTATATGATTGATTTTCAAATATTAAAATTAATATAGGTATATATATATATAATATACGGGCTGGGCTGGGGCAAGATCTATCCTGGCCCCGGCCCGTCCCCGAATTTCAGGGCTTGTCTTAGGCCTTACCTCGGCCCAAAGCCTAAACGATTCAGATCCGCCCCGTTCGGGCCGGGCTTTGTGCCCATACCTAGTTTGTGGTTTTGAACTCATGAGCTATTACCCAGATATCATATTAACTAATCACTTGAACCAATGGCTTAAGCTATCAAGTACAGATCCAAACAATAGTATAAAACCCTCTAGCATTGGACGCATTGTTGTTTGTGGATCCTAAAACTAGAAAGCCAACTGAGAATGAAGAAACCAGGTTTCATCTTGGCAGAACCTTCCACTGAGCACAATCACATGATACCAACTGCAGAAACTATAAGCTGGATAAAACATCCTTATTAGCTTCAGCGTCTAGAGAAACTTCTATTATTTTGCCATGACATGTGGATAATACAATAGGTAANCTTCAATGAGTGAATCAATATAAATTCCAATTTTATTTGCCTTTTGCAGAGTGATTTGGATATTGGGAATAATACCAATGCATTAAACTCTCGCGTAGTTGCTGAAAATGTTTCGACTTTGCAAACAAGGTCTCTCTCTCTCTCTCTCTCTCTCTCTCTCTCTCTCTCTCTCTCTGTTACTCAATTAAGCCAGGATTGTAATTTAGTGTTTTGTGTTTAATATTGTAGATGTTAAGTCATCACCTGATTAAAAAACTTAAGTTTTCATGTGAGGAACCAAACAATATTATAAACCCTTGAATAGACTCCTTCACATGTAATGTGAGCCAAGCTTCAACTCAGGCAAAAACAAGCTCCATACCAAATACAAATATTGGTGCATGACGTTTGAGGTAGGGATGGCCACGGGCCGGGGACTCCTGTCTCCGGCCCCGGCCCCGGCCCGAAAGCCCAAGTGGATTCTCCGATCCCGGCCCGAAGCCCGTTCGGGGAATTTAGGGAATCTCCGAAAAAAGCCGGTTCCCAAATCCCCGAATTCCCCGTTTGGGGGTTTTCTGTGTTTTTGTATCCTTATTAGTTTTATTATCTTTTTCTCTAAATTATATATACCAACAAAAAAAAAAAAAAAAATTAAATATATAATATACATTTTAAACATAAAAACTATATCATCAAAAAAGAAATTAAATCTATAATGTACATATTAAATATATAATCTAATCTAGGATTTGGGCATAATTTGTGTTTATGAAGGAAGGGCAAAATTGTTTTTATGAAAACATAACAAGGGAAAATGGTAATTATGTAATGGAAAGATGGAATTGAAAATTTGAAATTCCTTGAAAACGAAGGACAAGGTCCTGGTCCATACTCCATTACTTCACAAGGTGTCCGTACTCCATTACTCCACAACGTGTCAAGGACTTTATTTATAAATTATAATAATTAAAAAGAATTATAATAATTTATACATTTATTATAATCAATAGCGAATCCAAAAATTTCTGTTAAAGTAGGTCAAAATAAAAACTAATTACACTTATACTTATATAATATATACCATATATAATATCCAATGTATAATGTCGAATGCATACCATATATAATGTATAATATATAATGTCGAATGTATAACTTTTGTTTCATAGCATTAACATATTGTGTATAATATATATATATATTACAAATATTTATAATGATTTATTATATTTAATCTAGTTTTATTTATTACCTATTTGTATATAGTTTCATAAAATACTTATACAATTATAATTTGTCATTGTATAATGTATAATTGATTTTCAAATATTAAAATTATTATAGGTATATATGATTGATTTTTAAATATTAAAATTAATATAGGTATATATATATATATAATATATGGGCTGGGCTGGGGCAAGACCTATCCTAGCCCCGGCCCGTCCTCGAATTCTGGGGCTAATCTTAGGCCTGATCCCGGCCCAAAGCCCGAACGATTCGGATCCGCCCTGTTCGGGCCAGATCGGGCCGGCTTTGTGCCCATCCCTAGTTTGAGGTTTTGAACTCATGAGCTTTTACCCTGATATCATATTAACTAATCACTTGAACCAATGGCTTAAGCTATCAAGTACAGATCCAAACAATAGTATAAAACCCTCTAGCATTGGACTCATTGTTGTTTGTGGATCCTAAAACTGGAAAGCCAATTGAGAATGAAGAAACCAGGTTTCATCTTGGCAGAACCTTCCACTGAGCACAATCACATGATACCAACTGCAGAATCTATAAGCTGGATAAAACATCCTTATTAACTTCAGCGTCTAGAGAAACTTCTATTATTTTGCCATGACATGTGGATAATACAATAGGTAACTTTGATAGCTGTAAATATAGCAAATGGGTAGAGCAATCCTCATAACAAAAAACTATTGGGGAAAGATTGTAAAATATATGGTAGGTATTGACTCTCTTTTTTTGGATAGGAAATGGAAAAAAAAAAAAAAAAAAAAAAAAGATATATTAATGATAGGGAAAACTGAAATACTATGGTGGATTAAGTATCTGTTGATGTGAATGGATTACCCCTCAAATGCCATTAGTTATGTTTTGTGAAAGAAGTTGAAAACTTAATGTGGTTGTGGATAGTTTTCTGATAACATTAGTTCTGTTTCTGTAAAAGAATGTTGAAAACTTGAGGTCTTTGTATAGATTTTTGATTATGTTTTCTAATAGTGGGATGAAAAGTTGAGGTTGTGTGGTGGAGTTTTCTGAAAATTTAGTTCTGTTTTATTAGAGAAAATTGAGAAGTTGAGGTTTAATAGGCAAGAGGTGTCAGATGATGAAACAAGAGATTGAGAATTTGTCAAAGGACAAGCAGGAACTCCAGAAAAAGTTTTCTGAGAAATCCAGATCAGTCTAAATTACTATTTTACACTTTTATATCCTTTTCTTAAAGATTACATATTTGGCTCTTGGATCCTGATAAAACTAACGCATTTTAATACCAGACAGAAGAGAAAGCCAGATGAAATGTATGATCAATTGAGGAGTGAGTATGAGTCGATGAAACAATCAACACTTCAACTCGTAAACAACTTTTACCCAAGAAATGAACATGATTTGTTCTCAAACCCAGCAGCTAACATGATGGAAAGTGAAGATCATATTGGAAAAGGTAATCTTTTCTTTTATAGAGTAAAAAATTGATGATTTATGTGCCAACTTATTGTAATCTTAAAAGCACTTACTCTTTTAAGTGTTCTTCATATCTAAATGCAGCGTAAAGTGTTCATCAATAAAGTATATTTTATTATCAAAAAGTTACAAACTTACATTCTTAGGTTATACATGTTTTTGTTGTGGAATTTGTAGCCGGTATGTCTTTTGTGGTGAATAGAGTTTGTGTTGGATGATGAAGAATGCCAATTTTTTTTTTTTAATTTTCTTTTATGAGTAATACTAGCCTTACAAAGAGGTATATAAATAGTCAAATCCAGCCCTTGAAAGAAGGGAAAAAGAAAGAGAGAAAGAGTTTCAAGGGCTGGATTTGACTATTTGTATGACTCTTTGTAAGGCTAGTATTACTCTTCTTTTATTTTTGCTCATTTCATGGTGCTGGGCAACCTTTTAAAATGGTGAAAGATTAACTGTTGGACCTCAAAACAATGGTCATATTCCGCGTAGCAACTAAGAAAAATGCTACAACTTCTCTTCTTCTGCTTTGAAAAGAGAATATATTCATATCAATAAAATGTTTCATTATTATTTCGTTCTTTAATTAATTAATTAATTATTATTATTATGATTATTATTTTGTGTCAAAACCACTTTTATAAACAACCTGCAATTTCGTTCTTTAATTAATTAATTAATTATTATTATTATTTTGTGTTAAAACCACTTTTATAAATAACCTGCATAATGCGTGGGCTTTTCAACTTGTGTTATATAATCCAAATTAATTTTCTAATTTAAAAGACCATTTAATTATATTAAAACACATCATTTTATATGCATGAGTTTGTCTTGAGTTTGGACTTTGGTGAAGCATGAAATTGGATAAAAATATTTGTATCAAAGATTAATAAAAATAAATAAATATAACGTTGTACTTATTTTTAAATTATTAAATACTCGATAATATGTTAAATTAATTACTAAACAATTAAATAAAATTTTATATTATTTAATAATTACTTATTTTGAAATAAAACTAAAATATTATTTTATAATTTATCTGAATAATATTCACATTATTAATTATAATATTTATATAATTAATTAATTGTAATTTGAATGATAAATATTTCAATTATCAACACATTAATTTCAATCAATGTTTTAAAATTTTAGTAATTATTACTATAAAATGAACAAAAATATATTTACTATTATTCTACATAATATTAATAATTTTAGATAATAAAATTAAAGTAAGTACATTTAAATGTTAATATTAGTATCTTTTAATATAAAGTAATATATATTAAAATAATATATGTAGTGCCTGAATCTTCCAAGGCAGAAACGTAATTTCCCTATTGGATATTACTTGCACTCAGGTAAATAATCCAAAAGATATTCTCCAAAATAGAAAGCAGAATCAACATTAAGGGAATAAAGAAGTCAAGTGAAATTAGGAAGTGAATATGATCAGTATCCGATCCAAAGAGGAAATAGATCTCATATTCTCCTAAAACTCCGACATTGCCTATTCTATTGGAAATCCTACTCTACCGAGGGAAGTATCCTTCTTAAACTCTCTCTTTACTTCACTATATTAAGGCCAATGGCATGAAATAATACATAAAATAATTCATGTGGAAAAGCCTCATATTAAGAATTCCAAGTGAAAGTTGACCACAACCTTTATTACCTCCCATTCCAAAGCTAGGAGTGATTGGTTCCGAGTAATCTGTATTTTTTTAAGAGTACTTTGCATTTTTTGAATCGAAACTAATTGATTTTGGTTCCCGTTTCTAGAAACCTAGAACCGGAACTTGGAACATAGGTTCCTGTTCTGGTTCCGAGTACTCGGGTAAATTTTAATTATCCTTTACTTTAAAAAAAACAATAAATACACTACCAAAAAATTGCAAATACATCCCCAATATTTTACAAAAATTATAATTTAATCCTAGTTTCCATCCGAGTGCCCGAACCTCGGTTCCGGTTCTAGCACTATAAAAACCGGTGCCGGACTTGGGAATTCCCAATTCCAATTTTCTAGAACAGAAATCGGGTCCTAATGGGGTTGGTTTCGGTTCCTACCTGGAGCCACGGGTTGGTACCTGTCGATTTTTGGTTCTACCCTTTACTCATGCTCACCCCTAGTTGCAGTCGACGAAGACCTTAGAGATGCCAATCTGAAGGCAAAACTGGAAAATCATTCCAAGGGGTAAAGACTGTAAACCCTAGTTTGGCGTGAAATTGGTATCAACAATTGGCACCATCTGTGTAAGGAAACAAGCCGAAAGTCAGAGGAAGGCAACTCGGGAGCAACCTCTACCTCCACTGGCGATATTCTCTTGACTGCCAACCCTCTAGGCAACGACAACCCTTGCACCCTGTGATAACCAAAGAACTGTGAATCCCAATATTGAGGTTGGTACATCTAAGCATTGGAGGGTAGAATTACCCCAAAAGATGCGCAACGAGATCCTAAACTTGCTAGCAAAAAAAACCCCTTAAAAACAACAAAAATCCCCTCTAAATATATAACAACCTTACATACAGGATATTTAATAGTTCATCGAAAATCGTTGGATTGCTTAAGACTTAAAGATTAGTTTATAATTTTTTAGTATTAATGTTGTGACACTTTTATCTGTGCTAGAGGAATAATCAGCTGTGACAAAAATCAGTTGAGCATTTGGTAAAGTTTACTTTTAAAATAGCTATATATCTTTAAAACAATATGTATGTGTTTGGTTAATTTAATTGTTCATTAGAACCTTTTTTTTTTTTTGTATAACAATGTTTTGATGGTATACGATGACTTAAAATGCATTATTTTTCTTTAAATATTATATATATTTTAAAATCATGTTAGTTTTCAACATAACTGTTGATTTTTGCATATGTTCAACAGTTATGTTAAAAATTAATAAAATAAAAATTATGTGACAAGTTATTAATATTTGGGTTGGAAAATCATAGGATATTAATGTCTTTTTAATAAATCAATAAGGATATAATAAGTACTATAAAAAAAAAAATGCATTTAATATGTTGACAAAATTTTACATAATCAATTCTCAAAGGGTGATGCTATTTGCCCCCATCTTCTATCTTATTATTATTAAATCCCATTTCTAAATTTACCCCATTAAGAGTTTTAGAGCTGTATAAATGTCTAAGCAAATCCTATTTATTCTCGAATTAGCCTAAATTAATATGTTACTGCTAATATACCATAGATTATATTTACCTTTTTTTGGTTTTTGTTTTTTTTTTTTTTTTCTCATGAGACTGTTATTATGGCTTAAAATCATATTGAAGATATTAAATAACATATTTTTTTTTTTACTAAAAAATAGTAATTTATTGGAAGTTTTACTAATATCAAAAATTTCACAGAAGTTAATAGATTAAATAAACTATAAATGAGACCCGCGCGTTGCACAGGTATGTTTATTTAATATTTTTGAAATAGGTTAAAGTAATTATATTAAGAGATGATAATTTAAATTATACAAGTTTTAGAGTAAACATAACTTTTATATATGTACAGAGTTGTGTTAAAATAAAATTAATAATTGTACCTTTATAATTATTAATATCAATTAATATTATGAAGATCAATTATTTAAACTTAACATTTATATTGAGTTCATTTTCAGGTTTGACATTGGTTGTTAAATTTTTTTCTCACAGTATAGGATTCTCTCCGGCTAAGGTTTGGAAACAGACTAACTTCCATCTTTATATCTTTTTCTTTAAAATGTTAGATTTTTGGAATGCCTATGTAATGTACTTATATAATTATTATTAATACTCATCCAATGTGTGAAGAGGGAAGAATTAAATCAAAATTAACGAGTTATGATAGAGAACAATTTTCAATCAATTAATGAGTAACATCAAAATCTACATAAAATTGAATATAGAGAATAATACTTTCATTATAAAAAAAATAAGTACATTGCTTTTTCATATTGTGAAGTGGGTTTGGACGATGTAGACATTATTTTCTATTTTTCTTATCATTGTTCAGTTCTTCTAGTGCATATGCATACTATCTTTTGTTCATGTTATAAATAATATCCATGGCAGATTCCATGATTTGTAACATCTGGTCAATAACTTCTCTGAATTTGTCTCTTGCAGTATATAGATCATCCAGATTAGTTTCAACTTTTTTGGAAATCTCCCTCAATTTCGGCATTCCCTAAAAAATGTCTAAACCAATTGTAGAAGCAAAATACAATCAAATTTTATAAATATATGGAAACGGTAACATGAATGTGTAAATATAATTATGAGATGAACTCTCGACTTATCAAAAAAAAAAATTTTTTTTAATGGCTTTTATATTCCCGCAAATATGTATCATTGTTTTGTTTGACATTTTGTAATTTAAGATACAAAAGATGTAGACCATTCATAACTTCTGGTTGCCTCGGTGGAGAATTATTGTTCTTGAGGTCGTTGCTGGTATTCGTTATAGATTCTTTTGGTTGCGATGTTTTGTCAGCCATTTTCAAATTAAGTTGTGGAGAAGAAATGAACAATTAAAGTGTATAGTATCTGAAGAAAGTTAAATGGGTGCTTGTTGTCATAGCAATATTTATAGGAGAATATGATACGAAAATGTGGGATATGAACATACAACTGGTAATAAATAAACGTGTTGATCGAAAAAATGTTAATAATTATGTGGATAAGGTAATACAAAACGTTAGTAGACTA